TTGTTGACGCTTTGGGATCCAATTTTGGCTACGCGTCGCTCGTTGATCTATTTGAGAGTTTCATTGGCTAATCGAAGCGGAAAAGCTGTGAGCAGCGTTGGGAGATCTTCATCTCCATCTTCGTATTGAGAAGGCAGAGAGGCCGCGCCCCGTATGAGCCTCTTCACCGCCAGTGCCAATAGCAACCCGCTCGGTGGTCTGCAAGCTTCCATCGTCTCACCAAGTGCTCATCTAGACGGTGTTTGAAACGCGCCTCATTCTGCTCTTCCATTACTGCCGATGGGAGTGAATTTCAGAGGGAAGTCGCCCTCCGGGAAAGGCGATAGATCAGAGGAAGCCCCATCAACTCAAGCTTCCGAATGGCGAGCCTGTGACCGCGCGTCCGGTTGCAATCTCGCGGTGGAATTACAGTACGTAACTCCGGCCCAGTTCACCACGTAGAATCTTCCACAGGTAGATCAAATCCCCGCGGAGTCTTCTGTAGCTAACCGGGTAGATTTTGAGCGCCTGGAGCCGACCTTCATAGCTGATCCCGTGAAGTCCCGCGACTCGGCGGGTGGCGTAGCGCTGTATCCGTTCGAAGTTGGCCACTTCTGAGAGCGTGCAGGGGTATACAGCGGGTCTACCGTATTCAAACCGGGGGCGAACATGGGAGGCAAACAGATTCTTGAAGGCCGCGAACGACAAGCGGCTAAACGACCGACGGATGGCACCTAGCATACTCCTTGCCGTATAACATGCTCTGGCGGTGTTCATCTTTGGCTTCATGGAATCGGAGATAATAACTCCCAGATCTCTCTCGTTAGTCGTCGAACGCAGTGGGACGTTATTCATCAGATAAGGAATATCCGGTGTACTCCGTCCTAGGTGCATATGAGCGCATTTCGACAAGTTCACTGGAAGTTCCCAGACGTCAGCCCAGTAGTATAACTTGTCCAAATCCTCTTGGAGAGCATGGGGGTCCTCTGGTGTTCTCATGGCTCTCCACAGTACACGTCATGCGCGTAGAGGAGGCAAGATGGGCTCAACTGGGAGGGCAGGTCATTCACGAACAGGAGGAACAGTACATGTCCTAGAAAAGAACCCTGTGGCACTCCACGGGTGACAGGATAGCGACACTACTCCTTTTGGGCAGCTCTGACAGTAAACGTCCTTCGGACGAGCAAATCCTCAATCCATGCTATTAGAGGGTCCGTGACACCGTGAGCCATCAGCTTCTCCAACAACCGTCCATGTGGCACCTTATCGAATGCCTTGCTGAAGTCAATGAAGATGACGTCCGTTTCGTGGCCGGCAGCCTTGGCAGACGCCCATTGCTCCCGAGCAAGTAGCAGATTCGAGACGCAAGATCACTGCGGACGGAACCCTTACTGCTCTGGATACAGAAGATAATTCGGTAGCAGGTGTTCCCGGAGTCGCTTGGCGAGTACACGTTCCATCACCTTGACAGCCACACAGGTGAGACTGACTGGGCGGTGGTTGACGGGGTCCCCGCGGGCTCCTCCTTTGAAGAGAGGGCGTACAGTCGCGGTTTTCCACTCGGCGGGCAACCTCCTCTCGGTCAATGATTGTTTGAACAAGATGGCCAAGGTAGGTGCAATGACCGGCGCCAGCACCTTCGGCACGATGGAATGTAGTCCGTCTCGACCCGGTGACTGGTACGGTTTCAGAGCCGAAAGTGCATCACACACCTCGTCTACCAAGATGACTTGCCAAGACAGCAGAGGCGCAGAACACGACAGTTGGGGGGTCGGTGATGTATCGGTGGCGTGAACATACACATAGTGTTGCACAAAAGCTTCCGCCTTGTCAGCATCGGTTTCTGCCAGGGCACCGTTATTCTCCAACGATAGTATGTCAGCCGTTGCACGCGTGCGGCGACGGAGGTATGCATAAAAACGCTTCGGCATGAAGGCCGCTTCGGCTGCCAGGGCTTCCTCGTAAACCCAACGTTTTCTGGATTTCATTTCAGAACTCGTATTACGCAGCACCTTGTATTGGTCATAGTTAGATCCGTGAGCGCCAAACGCTTTCCACACCCTGTTTCGGCGCTTAAGCATCTGATGTAACGCGCGGTCAAACCAGGGGGGCCCGTAGCGTGTGACCGGAAGCGTTTAGGAAGAGAGAAGGCTGCCATCAATTNAGCCCAGGCAAGGTCTACTTCCTGAGGACAGGTGATCAACCAGGGGAGGGCCTGCGCTGCGATCCTCATGCCACCGTAATCCGCTTTCCAGACATTGGGTCCGGAATGTATTCCAGAACGATACGGAGCTCCACGTCGCCAATGCACCAACAGGGTCGAATGATCGCTCGAACCGAGTGGCGGGAGGTGGTCAATGACGTCGACGTCCGATGTTTGAGGGGATAACACCATATCTAGGGAAAGCTCGCAGCATCTGAACGCGGCTTTATTCAAAAAATTCAAGGTCATTTGATCGATCCCCATTCTGCAAGCCGTGAAAAATATCCCAACTGGAGACCACTGTAGCTCAAAAATTATTTCGCTTATTAAAGGACCTAATTATAACGCTGGTTTCAATACGGCAGTCAACAACCAAAACAATTAAAAAGAAATTAATTTAACAGCAAAAAATAAAATAATTTTTGGTTAATATAAATCAACGAGTTCTCGGGAGTGAAATGTACACATACCAAATCTTTAAGAATTGCACCTTCCATATAACTGTCAAAAGCTATTTTAAGTACGATTCTGAAAATTTCAGCCTAAGATCATCGACGAATACGAAAAAACTAACTTTCACCACGAGGTCTGTGATTACTTCGTCGGCAATACGATGGATAAACTCCGTGGGCATGAAACTCTCCAAACCGCGTGCCCGTGGACTAATCCTCCAATTNTCCAATTTGCACCCACCCACGGGGTCATTCCACCTTGGAATTGGCTCGAAAACGAAGTAGGTAATGCTTTCACAAAATCCGATCTCAAATGGAATCTATACCGATATCTTGGTCCCTGAACGAAATTCATAATCCAAAGACAAATCGATCAAATTGGCGTGGGCCTAAAAGGGCCGTTTTCAGTCACTTTGAACTTTTGACGTCCACGCTCATCGACTGAGGCAATGCACACAAACGTATTCTGTCTCTCCATTGTAAGTCTTGAAGTATTTCACGGGTTCGAGGCTAAGCCCAATGGTCCCGGATCTTGGTTTGTCGGTTTTCGATTGATGGGTAATACCCGCTGACGAGAATTTGAGAGCACGCCCGCTATTGAGGAGGATTCAATGTGGATTCAGGTAATTGAAAGGAAGAACCTGAGAGGGAAGAGGGGAGGGGAGGGGTGCATTATCTGCTTGAAGTGCAACTGTAAGCAGCGCAACTGCTGTGTGTTCGTTGCCCGCATTTCTGGCACTGGATCCATTGTTGCTCATCGTCCAAATTGGCCGTATTCCACGCAGATTTTCAGCCACTGCAACAGTTGATGCTGGATTGGTTTGCCTTCGGCGTTTAGCGTCCAGTTTGTACTTACTGATGTCGTTGTTGTCAGTCTTCGCAACATATCATGCTCCAGTGGGTCACCTAGGACTATTTCGTCGTCTTTACTGTCGACTGATCTACTCACTAAAACTGATTTCCGCTTTTAAATCGAACCGCATGTTGAAGCTACTGGTGGATTATTGGTTCTCACCTTGACACTTGTAGACGAAAGACAGGTACGCCCAATCTCCGTGGTCTGTGTTGCCAAGCTCTGTTTATCGAATAACATCTGGATGTTCGGGTTCTTCCCTATCATAGCTGCTACATGTCGAATTTCATTGCATTGAAAATTGTAATGCACTGTACCTAAACTACTCAAACAGACGCCCAGCTCTTGAAGGACATCCTCTGTTCGAGCTAACTTTTATGGCTTACCCATGACGTTTCTTGAGGCCGCTATTACCACAGTGGAGTTCTGATCTGAATGCCTTCCGCTGTGGCTTATAATCCACCTGGAATAAGACTTTGAATATCCCAATTAATCAGATCGAATACCCTGGCTGTATGCAAGCAGGGAAACAACCATTGCGCATAGAAATAACACTCACACTTCGTTTTCCCTGCAGAAACTACTTTATAACCCCTGCCCTTTCTATCCACGACCATGAAAAACCCTCTCTCGTGAACCATTCGTCAATCTTACATGACTTCCGGGCACTTAATAATATATTCCGCGCAAATAGTGCTACTCTTATGGGCAACGATTTAAACGACTGCATGCCGCTGAGAACATGATACCCTCTCATGGAATTTTAGCAAGGCGAATTCCATAAGTCACTTCCAGTGACCTCATTCGTTGTAGCACTTTCTTAAATACATACACTAATGAAGATCGAGGCGACAAGCCTGTCATGAGGTGCCTATTTGCCGTCTCCATTCGGTTGGTGGTTAGGTTTCGTAAAACCAACCTAGTCCTCGCGGCATACCCTGCCCACTGCTCTCAGTATGGCAATCAATTTCGGCGTAAATAAACACCTGCTTCTCTGCTACGACTTTAGGGATATACGAAACGGTACCTCACTGTCACAGCACACCATGTTGAGCATCCATTTAAAGATTCGTTCCCTTTCGAACATTGGACTGCTTTTAGAGTGGCTACACCAGCACGCATTACCACAACACATACGTCAAGCCACCCTTTTTAGAGCAAATGACAGGCCGTCCATACTAGATCTGGTGATCACCAGAACCCCTGGAGAAATAAGGACAATAATCCAGGAGGAGCCTCTAGGGAGAAAAGATCATGTGGTCTTGCGGCTAACGCTAGAAAGCAGACACAACAAACCAGCGGCCAAACTAGGGAGGCGATATGGTAAAATCAACCAAGAGGAACTGGCCAGAGCGGCGCAGGATGTAAACTGGGTACTCAACCCAGGTGATGCGTCTCTGGAAACCAGATGGAGCCATATAAAGAAAGGACTTCTCCTACTTACGGATAGGTTTGCGACTTTGGTTCCGTTAGGAAAAAAGCAACGGCCTCCCTGGTGGAAAGCAAATATAGATAGGGCTATAACCATTCGTAGATGGGTGGTCTATAAACATTATGGCATCCATCAGTCGTGGAATGGTTACAAACAAGCGTGCAACTATGCACGGAAAGTGCAAAGAGAGGCCAAATACCAATTCGAGAGAAACTTGGGGCAAAACGTCAAGCAAAATCCTAAGTCTTTTTACGCTTATGTTCAATCTAAGCGCACCACTCGGGAAACGGTTGGTACCCTGCAATCGTCGGCCGGAGAGTTAGCAGTGAGTGAAAGCGATAGAGCACGCATCCTGTTACGGTTCTTAAAAAGCACATACAGGATCCCCATGGTGACAGATAACCTTCCATCAACTGAACGTAGCTGCACGATGCCCCCAATCATTGTGGGAATTCAGGATGTGCAGCGGGAGTTGACCGGGCTCAATAGGTTCAAGGTGGCGGGGCCTGACGGAATTCACCCAGCGACTGTGCAACCGCTGGCTGACGTCACAGCAGGGCCAATCTTCGAGTTATTTCAAGAGTCGCTTAGACTGGGAACTGTCCCGAACGACTGACACAAAGCCACAGTAGTNTGTTGGTATCAGCTCAGTACGGATTTCTGGAAAAGAGATCTTGTCTGACAAATTTGCTGGTGTTCCTAGATGAGGTCGCCCGTAGAATTGATGAGGGCCTGCCGGTGGAGGTATGCTATCTGGACTTCAAGAAGGCATTCGACTCGGTCAGCCACCATCTGTTGGAGAATAAAATGAAATTATTGGGAGTTGATGGGTAAGCCAGGAACTGAATAATGGGATTTCTTACGCAGAGGACGTTTAGTGTCAAAGTAGGAGATTACACATCCGAGGAGGAAGTGGTCACAAGCGGCGTACCCCAAGGATCCGTGCTTGGACCACTGCTGTTCCTGCTATACATTAACGACCTAGCATGGGATCTCCAAAATCCCTGTTTTCTGTTTGCAGATGACGTCAAGATAGCTGGATGGGATCTAGTAAGGGACACAATGGTAGTACAAAAGTGGGCCGAAAAATGGGACCTGCCACTAAATGTCTCTAAATGTCACATACTGACGACCAAAAATAACGAAGAGACAGCAGGGAGCCTGCCGATGCAAAGGGTGCACGAGGCAAAGGATCCAGGCATAGTGGTCACGCGGGATTTTAAACCCAGTACCCCAGTGTGTGAAGGCCGCAAACAAATCCAGAGGACACTTGTTTCTTCTATGCGCAACGGTGACATGCAGAAAACCATAGGTCTTTGTTCCTCTTTACAAAAGTATTGTCCGTCCGCATCTGGAATACTGTGTGCAGGCTTGGGCTTCGTTCTTCCGGAAGGACGTCGATACCTTAGAGTGGGTTCAACGTCTAGCCACGAGAATGATAGCTGGGCAACGAGGGAAGAGCTATGAACAGCGGCCCAGAGATTTAAATATGTTCTCCCTCACACGGAGGCGGATGAGAGGAGACCTAATCGAGA